AATATTTAATAAAAATGGAGAAGTACTTATAATAGACTACTCAAGAGAAACAAAAACACATTCAATGTAAAATCGATTTAGGAAAGTATGTTCCTTTTTTATTATATATACAGAGATATAGTATATATAAAATACTGATGAATATAAATGCTAAATAGTAGTATTTATCATTGGTTGGTGCATTTTTTTTTTTAAATACCTCTCAGTATTTTTTCTTTTTTAAATTTACCAGAGGGCACATATGCTCAACAGAGAGAGATAAGAGGTTGGGGGAAAAAGTGAGAAAGTGCCCCCATTGAGGAATGGCCATGCCACAATCACTTCTCCTCCACCTCTTCCTCCCTTCAGATTTGGGGCACACATGCACATGTGCATAGCAGCATTTTTTTTTTTAAATACCTCTCAGTATTTTTTCTTTTTTAAATTTACCAGAGGGCACATATGCTCAACAGAGAGAGATAAGAGGTTGGGGGAAAAAGTGAGAAAGTGCCCCCATTGAGGAATGGCCATGCCACAATCACTTCTCCTCCACCTCTTCCTCCCTTCAGATTTGGGGCACACATGCACATGGGCATAGCAGGTTTTCCAAGCCACTGGGTCTGGGACTTGAACCGTGCAGCCTGCCATGTGGAATCCAGATCACATAATACCAAGCCACGGGCTGGCTGTATTTTTCCTTTCTAAAATTAATGGGTGATTCTCACTTTCATAAGTAAGAACAAAAATGTATGACTAGAAAGGGATTACCAGGTCTTTAGAAAAAGCAAAATGGCATTAGGAGTGCTCTTGGGAATGCATAATGATGGCAAGACCCTCACTGTGGGTTGTTCCTGTCTGGGGTCCAAAGAGCACAAAGTCTACTGAAGGCTCATCACGGGCTACTTTAGAGGAACCTTGTAGGGCAAGACGATTTGGAAATGCTGATGATATCAATCAACATTTGATGTTGTATAGAAGCCCAAATAATATATGTTAACCAATCCTATTTTCATCACTTTGGTGTATTTTTTTATTTTTTGGGGGGAGAGGTTTTTGCTATAGGGTGTGTGTACTCGCCAGACAGGCAGAGAGAGACAGAGAGACAGAAAGCGAGAAATCAACCCCCAGGGGAGATGGTCACGCCGCAATCCCTTCTCCTCCATTCTCTCGAGATCTTGGGCACGCACGCACACGCACCCGGCGTGAGTTTTAAGCCACCGGGTCCGGGACGCGAACCGCGGTTGACTATATGGGAGTCCAGCGACATAGCCATTACGCTAACTGTTGGTTCCCACTTTGGTGTATTCTCATGAGAACAATTTTATTCTTTAAGATGTACACATGGTGCTGGACCATGAGGACTCTGGATTCATAAGGGGAGAATTGAACTGTGAGTCCTGCCTTGCTCTGCTACACACAGGTCAGGTCTTCAGTATCTGGAAGCTTCTTTCTTCAAGAAAAATGGGAGGCCAAAAACATTCTTAATTACATCTCAAGGTTATTTGAAGCAAACAAAATTTGTATATGTGAAGCAATTTGAGGTTATTCACCCTCAAAGTTCAATAACTCCTGAAAGGCATGGTTACTTGTATACCGTTCCTGTATTAATATAATTTCACTTTTGAATCACGGGAGAAGTGGGATGAAGGGAATTATAAAACACCCATTAGGGGACCAGCAGTTAGCATAATGGCTATGTTGCTGGACTCCCATGTAGTCGATCACAGTTCGAGTCCCAGACCCGGTGGCTTAAATTCACGCTGGGCGTGTGTGCATGCGTACCCAAGATCCCGAGAGGAGAATGGAGGAGAAGGGATTGGAGCGTGGCCATCTCCCCTGGGCGGTGATTTCTCGCTTTCTGTCTCTCTCTCTCTCTGTCTTTCTGGTGAACGCATGTGCCCTATAGCAAAAACCTCTCTAAAAAAAAAAAAAAAGAAGAAGAAAAAAGAAAAAACAGCCATTGGGGGCCAGCAGGTGGTATAGTGATTATGGTGCTGAACTCCCACATGGCCAAGCGTGGTTCAAGTCCTAGACTCGGTGGCTTGAAACTCACACCGGATGAGCTGTGCATGCATTCCTAAAATCCTGAAAGGAGAATGGAAAAGGGATCACGGCATGGCCATCCTTCCCCCCTAGGAGGTGATTTCTCACTCTCTTTCTGTGTGTGTGTGTGTCTAGTAAGTGCACGTACCCTGAAGCAAAATCTCTCTTAAAAAACAAAACAAATAAAAACAAACAAACAAACAAATCAACAAAAAAAATGGCCATTTTCATGCTTCTTAGTCCCATAAAAAAGCAGGAGAAAATACACCTGGAAGAAATCCTCAATCAACCACCACGGTACACCAGAACAAGGTCGGAGAGAACACCTAGTGCCCAGGGATACTGTGTGAGAAGTGCTATCACCAAATATGATTTCAAGAGCAAAAACAGAGAGGACGGGTTGAGATCCATGTACTTTCTGTGCCCTTTGATGTTTCTGGGATCTGTGTGAGTAGAAAAGGAACTGTGAGAAATAATGAAAGTCTTACTTAGGTGGCATCATGAATTAATGATTCACGCATCATAGAAGAAGTGGCCCAAAGGCCATAACGTAAGTCTAGTTCATTGTCTGTTCATTTCAGACACAACTGAGTAATTATAATTCATAGTCAATTAAAATAATCCAAATTCTGAGTGGGGGGGGAAAAAAAAAGCCTACCATTTATTCTAAGTTGTACCTCCCGGTCATATTATCTTGGCCTCAAAATGATATGGACAAAGACTAGAAAGGGTTTTGAAAAAAAACAAAAACCAAAATCAATTTCATTCTACTTCTTAATGATATAAATTGAAGCAACAGACAGTTCTTATTCAGTGCTTGACAAAAACCTACAGAAAGCCAAGTTTATTTCTCGCACATGTAATTCTTAATCACTTAATGGATTTTCAAGTTATAAGTAGAATTTCTCCAATAACTATATTCATATAATTATTACTGCTGAATAAAAACACAATGCCTATTTTCTACCAATAGTAACTTCTTATTGCAAGCCAGCCCTATGCAGTTCTTAGCACAAGAACTTCTAGAAATAGACTAGATATTGGCTCTAAGGGCTAAGGTCACAACACTTCTCATCAGGATGATTAATCTTTACGAAAAGGCAGAAAAACAAGACAGGGCCGCCCACTCTGACATTTTCATTCTTTAAAAAAAAAAAAAAATCCCAATCTAGTTCATGAACTGGAACCATCGCCTGTTTAAAAAAAATGCAATCCATCAAGGGTACACTTTGATTTGAAGATTAACGAGATCATTATCATTCTTAATTCTTTGCATTGAGAAACCTGTACTGACATTAAACCGTGGTTCTAGCATAGTTTTACTCAGAAATCTGATAAACCTGTGCCCAGGAACTAACTCATCTTTAATACCAATGCTACTTCATTTTTTCCTTTTCTGCTTACTTGAAAAAACATAAACAACAAAGTGTAACATTTAAAAAAAAAATCACTCCATTCATGCATATAGGACTCGTTTTTGCACACCCTTTCTATATTCAATGATGGGAGAGTAAGGAGCATGCAAGTAGGCAGGTAAGATGTCGTGTACCCTACAGCTGCCGGAGCTGGGTATGTGCGCATGCGTGCACATGCACATGTGTGCGGAGGCTTCAGAGGTAAAGCATAGGCATCCTGCGGTGACTGGGAAAGGCAGAGAGAGGAGAGGTGTGAATGAGCAGGAAGAGGTTTTCCTGCAGGCTCAGGGGGTTTGCTGTAGGCTGTATCTTAAAAGCTTTCACCTGAAAGAAATCTAAGCTGAGATGATTTTTTTTTAAGAGGTTTTTGCTATAGGGCGCGTGCGCTCGCCAGATAGACAGAGAGAGACAGAAAGCGAGAAATCACCCCCCAGGGGGGATGGTCACGCCGCAATCCCTTCTCCTCCAGTCTCCTCTCGGGATCTTGGGCACGCACGCACACGCGCCCGGCGTGAGTTTTAAGCCACCGGGTCCGGGACGCGAACCGCAGTCGACTACGTGAGAGTCCAGCGACATAGCCATTATGCTAACTGCTGATCCCCTGAGATGATTCATAAAAGACTTGGATCTGATATCTTTCTCTTCCTTCTTCCCTCACTTATTTTTTTAATTTTTTTTTTTGAGAGGTTTTTTTTTTCACTATAGGGCGCGTGCGCTCGCCAGACAGAGAGAGACATAGAGACAGAAAGCGAGAAATCACCCCCCAGGGGGGATGGTCACGCCGCAATTCCTTCTCCTCCATTCTCCTCTCGGGATCTTGGGCACGCACGCACACGCGCCCGGCGTGAGTTTTAAGCCACCGGGTCCGGGACGCGAACCGCGGTCGACTACGTGGGAGTCCAGCGACATAGCCATTATGCTAACTGCTGGTTCCCTCTTCCCTCACTTTTGAACAGCTTACTGGGGTGTAAACTGGCACTAACCTAAAGAAAGTTCTGCTCTAGAGAAAAGAGAGTACAGGTTGGCATCCCTTATGCAGAATTCTTGGGACCAGAAAGTTTTGAAGTTCAGATGTTTTCAGGTTTTGGAATATTTGCATACACATAACGAGGTATCTTAGAAAATGGGACCCAAGTTTAAACACAAAATTCATTCATTATACATAAATGCCTTAGATAGAGGACCCAAAGGACATTTTTTACAGTATTGTTGTGCTGCAGCATTTTGACTGTGGCCTCACATGAGGTTAGGTATGAAAACATTTGTGTCATCTTGTCGACAGTCACAAAGTTTCGGACTTTGGAGTATTTTTGGAGTTGGGATTTTTCAGATGAGAGAATGCTCGCTCAGTGTTAATCTAACAATTCAAGGTAATTTAGGAAAAGGAAGGGGATCAAAGATAAAATGGGGTGAAGGTGAGGCTGGCCAAATCCAAATTCTGGATTTGGGGGTGCAGAGAGGAAATCAGGAAAGGAAAAGCAAAAGAAAACAGTACGGAGAAAACAGTTTGGAAGCGAAGTTGAGGAAACAACTAACTTATCCATTTAACAAGAACTCATTTACCTGTGTGATTTTTTCTATTCCCTGGAAGTTGTGCTTTTCAAAATGTTCCGCTATGTTTAGGAAAGTGTGACGTTCCAGATAGCAGCAATTACTGAGGACTATCAAAAGCCGCTGTTCCTAAAAGCAAAATAAATGTTCAAAAAATTACACTTGCAGTAACACGCTGAGGGCTTAACAGATCACATCTATCACTGACGTTGAATCATAATCTCTTGCTGTTTAACATCAACATCCAATGCTCTTTTGGTTTTCTTGGCTGTTTCTTTCCCAATATTATTAACAGAGAAAACATAATACATAATGTAGTTTTACAAAAGCTAGTTATTACACAATACACTCAACAGTCAAAGACTAATTCCTCTGAACTTAAGAGCTATGTAGAACAGAATAGGTCAAATAGCTGTAAAGCAGGATCAGTTGTTCTTCTTATGAAAGGGATTCCACTTTAGGGATCAGCAGTTAGCATAATGGCTATGTCGCTGGGCTCTCATGTAGTTGACTGCAGTCTGAGTCCAGGACCCGGTGGCTTAAACCCACACTGGGCGCGCGTGTGTGTGTGCCCAAGATCCTGAGAGGAGAATGGAGGAGAAGGGATTGTGGCATGGCCATCCCCCCTAGGGGGTGATTTCTCGCTTTCTGTGTCTCTCTGTCTGTCTGGCGAGCGCGTGCACCCTATAGCAAAAACCTCTCTTAAAAAAAAAGGGATTCCACTTTAGTGGAAGCACTTACCTTAGTGCTTTGTGTACACAAAGGGCCATGCAAATGGGCACTTAAACAGTAAATTATATAAAAATGTAGACCCTTTTAGAAAGTAGTTTATACATGTTTCATAACAGAAGAGAATTATATTGCTATACATCTCCAATGGGTATATTTTTATTAATTTTTTTTATTACTCATACATGCAGTTTATTAAATCCTAGTGTAGACAGACACAGGAGTGCACACTATCAGGTAAAGGGAGTAGGGGTGGGGAGACAGCGGAGATGCAGGGGTGTGGTGGGGGAGGGCATGGCCACAGCCAGACACATCTAGCAGGGGATGGCGAGGACTATGACCAGCTATGGGAAGCCTTCAAAATATTTTGTCATCTCTGCAATCACTTGGTGGATTATCGCTGGTTCAATAACAAAACTAATTATGATGGCAATGACCAGAAGGATGCCGAAAACCAGGGTGCGGATGGGAGTACTCAAAGAACCTTGGGCCTTTAAGAAGTATTTGTGTTTGTAGGAGAAAGCCTAGGAATAGCCTCCCTCCGATGAGAAGTGAAGAAACCAAGGCCAGGGCTCCATCCCAGAGGACGTGGTCAGTGCCAGCCAAGGAGCAGGAGAGAACCCATTTGCTTCTCCACTTTCGCAGGTTCTATCCAGCCAAGTAATTTCTTCTAAAAGCTGCCAGGTCTGAATACTGATGGTTACAATACCCTTTCACGATTCAGAAGAACTACCTCTGTAAATGAAATTCCAGGAACGATGCTGTCGCTGATGTTGCGGTTCACCAAGGCACTCTGCCCTGTAATCCTGCAGGTGGGAGGGTATTCTCTGGAACACCCATGACTAATGTAAGGCCCTGACTGAAGATCCCTGACTAAAACTAAGGCAAACACACTTTCCAGGAAAGGACTCACCCACACTTTGCTTATATTTCTGTATATGTTCAGAATGACTTAGAATACAGTAACTTCATATGGTAAATGTGGAAATAAATATGTTCCTGTTCTTTGAGGGATATGGATCAAAGAACAACTATAGTCTTTCAACTGAATTGTCAATTGTATTATCTCTCTCAGCAACTTCATTTTGCTCAATCAAATTTCTAAAAGCACTCTTTTTTTTTTTTAATTTAAAATATTCCTCAATACAAAGTGGACAAATCAAGAAGACTTAATGTTAAGTGAAATAAGTCAGACTTTGAGACAAACACTGTATGTCCCTGTTCAATATATATCGACTGTTAGGCCAGCCTGTGGTGCGGTGGTTAAGGCAGCTGGATCCCACATGGCTCACCATACAGTTCGAGTTCTGGATGTGCTTGAGAAACATGGTGGGTGCAAATGTGTGAGTACCCAAAATCCCTAGAGGAGGGAGATGTGGAGAAGGGATTGTGTGATGACCATTGTCCATGAAGAGTGCTTTATCTCTTCCTTCCCCCCACATACATACCTTGTGGCAAAAAAAAATAAAATAAAATAAAAAATTGTATATATGTATAGATACCCTGAATGTCTGTACTCTATGGTAAAAACTGAATGATTTGAAGACATAAAAGTAGAGAAGACACTGTAATACCAAAGTGTGAGGGGGTGAAGTGGGGTGGACCTATGTCCAGGAAAAAAACATTTAACTGACACAGGAATCCACATAGACAGGCAAAAATGGGTTGTGGAACAGCATACCACAACAGAGTGAGCAAAGGGGATGTTGTCTATCAGGTATGTATTATACATACACACACACACAATACATATACGAAAACCATGTAGAACAAACATAGAAGGCATATGTCCCAATATGGTGTTCTTTGTTGAAAACAATGCATATGGTAATATCTTTGATTTGATAATCACACACTGCACACATACTTTAAAAACCATACTGTACCCCTCGGGACTAGCAAATGGTGGAATGGTTACATCACTGGACTCCCACGTAGTTCACCGTGGTTTATGTCCTGGACCTGGCAGCCTGAAACTCACGTGGGGTGCATATGTATGAGTGCCCAAAATCCCAAGAGGAGAATGGAGGAGGAGGGAGCGTAGTGTGGCCATCTCCCCCACCCCACCCCCCTGGAGTGATTTTTTTGCTTTTTGTCTCTCTGATGAGTACACATGCCCTATAGCAAAAATCTCTCTCTCTCTTAAAAAAAAGAAAAAAAAGAACTGTATCCCACAAAGATCCACAACAATTATATGTAAATAAGAGATAAATATTCCTATCTTTATTTCTGAGAGAGTATAGCCTGTTTACTACCTTTTTTGATCACCGACAAATATAAGGAGAAAGTCAGGCATTATCAAAGTACCTTCAGACAAATGAAAAGTTGCTAATAAATCTGAGTTAACCCATGAATAAAAAATGCAGTATAGCCGGGACCAGTAGTTGGCATAATGGCTATGTCACTGGACTGCCCGGTAGCTGACCGCAGTTCGAGTCCCAGACCTGGTGGCTTAAACTCAAGCCGGGCACATGTGCGTGTGTGCCCAAGATCCCGAGAGGAGAATGGATTGTGGTGTGGCCATCCCCCCTGGAGGGGGGAGTGATTTCTCACTTTCTGTCTCTCTGTCTCTCTCTGTCCTTCTGGTAAGCATACGAGCCCTATAGCAAAAACTTCTCAAAAAAAAAAAAGAAAAGAAACAGTATACAACAAGAGAAACAGTTATATTCTGTGTAGTACTTCTTTTCCAAATTTTAACAATAAATGACCTAAAAAAAAAAAAAAAGTAGTGAATGAACATGAGGGACTTGCACAGGTGAGGCCAGGGACGGTGAGGCCTCGTTCCCTCTTGCTCACAAGTCAGGTGCCACCACTGCAGTTCTTATATAGGACATGGAAGTAAAGGCCAGTGGGACCCACTGTCTTTAGGGAATGGGCTCTAAGACCCCGGGGAGGCCTGAAATCAGACACAGTACCAAGCCCCAGATATGCCACGTTTTGCCTGTATCATACCTATCGATGATAAAGATTAATTTATAAATTAGGTACAATAAATGATGAATAATAAATCACAAAATGGAACAATTTAAAAATTATTGTAATATAAGTTATATGAATGTGGTCTCTCTTTCAAAACATCCTATTGTACAACACTCACCTATTTTCCGACCACAGCTGACTGAGATGACTGAGACGGGACGGGGGGCTGGTACTACTACTGCTGTGCTCCTCAAAAATCTCATATGGGTTCCCAGTTTTATAATCAATTCTGAATTGCTTTTTCCTTCAAGAGTTAAACCACTCATCTACAACAGTAGACAGAAGCCTCTGTGTCTTCTCTGCTCATTCTGTTAATTAGTTCTCTTTGCTTAATTGGCTCTTCTTTCAAAAAACTATTTGAGTGAGTTATGGTCTTACTCTCAGCGAATGCATATTTTTTTTTTTTCTCAAATCGAACCAAATCAGATGAAATAAAAGTGGAAAGAACAGCACAACCATACAATCAGATTCTTAAGCACAGATGAATAATCGAAAGCTTCTGAATAACTTAGAAGGAAATGTATATTTAGAAATAACAATCTACGCTCTCAGAGCAGCACCTGCGTGGAGGGGTTATGTTCCCATGCTTCACCACAGCTCTTGCTCACAGCATCTCTGACACGTATCGCCACTGCATTCTGTGCAGGAACACGGGCCTGGATGCCTGCCGTGGCAGGCCTGACGCCAGGCCTAGGACCAGTGCACCAGGATGCATGGACTCCACATCCAGGCCTCGTTCTTCCTGTAGCCGCCACCCTCTGATAACAACGCAAAACCCTAACATCTCAATAATCAGAGAAGATGGGTCAAACCTAACGAGGTATCTTCCGATGGAGAAAAACACAGGAACGGAATTTGCTTACAAATAAATGATTTTAGAAGAGCAAGAGAACCCAGGTCAGGTCTTGTGACCCACGTGGGTATGTCCAGAAAGCTCGCTGGGAGTCTCACATCCCGGAAGCCCCAGGTTCGCTCTCATGCAACCACCTCTGAGAGAGCCGGAAGCCAGCCCAGAGGACGGAGAGAGCGGGAGCACAAGCCCCTGGTCTGGAGACGCCCAAGGGCCCAGGGGAAGCTGCACACAGCTGCTGTCTCCCACGCTGGAGCGTTATCTGGCAGAAATGAGGCTTGTTCTGAGACTGAGACACCTAGCGAGTTATTGTTCAGTTTCCAAGTGTCTACACCTTCCTGAGCCCTCTTTATCCTTTGTGCACAGGGGGAAGGATACTTTCAACTTGCCACATTGCCTTTCTCGCCTCCTGCGGTGCCCTTCTCAGGACAACAGCCCCATAAGGCAGCAGCTCTCACACTGCCAAACCTTAGTTTACAGCCTAGCCTGACAGCACTCTGTCCCCGCAGCTGCGAGACTGTTAAGCACTCCTTTGTTTAAATGCTTTTTATTATTTATTTATTTATTTTTGGAGAGGTTTTCGCTATAGGGCGCGTGCACTCGCCAGACAGACAGAGAGAGACAGAGAGACAGAAAGCGAGAAATCACCCCCCAGGGGGGATGGTCACGCTGCAATCCCTTCTCCTCCATTCTCCTCTCTGGATCTTGGGCACACATACCCACGCGCCCGGCGTGAGTTTTAAGTCACCGGGTCCGGGACGCGAACCACGGTCGACTAACGTGGGAATCCAGCGACATAGCCATTACGCTAACTGCTGGTTCCTAATGCTTTTTATTTTTTTAACCTTTCTGTGGCATAGGGTGCTTGCATGTGCTGGAGAGAGACAAGACAGAGAAAAAGAGAAAGTGAGAAATCACGCCCCCAAGGGGAATTGCCACACCACAATTTCTTCTCCTTTCTCCTCTCAAGATTTTGGGCATGTATGCACACATGCCTGGCGTGACTTTTCAAACTGCCAGGTCCAGGACTTGAACCACGTAGTCAGCTATGTGGGATCTAGTCACATTAACCTGTATGCCCGCTGCTGACCTTAAACACTCTTTTCAATCCATCTAGCTGGGTTTCTATCTCTGTGCTCCTTTTCAGGAAATGCGGAGGCTCTTTGCTTCTATGTAGTCCTTAAATCCTGGTACCCTAATATTATTTATATACTTGGCCCTTCTCTCCTTCTGCTAGTTCTAAGATTCCCCCAGTTCTCCTCACGTGTGTGTGTGTGTGTGTGTGTGTGTGTGTGTGTGTGTGTGTCCTCGCCTGAGAAAAAGAATGCCTGGACTGCTCTGTGGCCCAGCCAGCCTCTTACCTTCCCCTGCAAACCTCAACCCAAGCCAGGACCTTGAATATCCCCAAGGACTAAGAAAGCTGTTGGACTGCTGCTCCAAAATAATATTAATAAAGTGGTTAAATTCATAGACGCTTGCTCACCATAGCCCTTCTCAAGCTAAATTCCTTAATCCCTCAACTCCATTAACAGACCCTCACCTTGTTTTGGATATACCCAGAAAAAATATCCTTTTTTTTTTTTTTTTTTTGAGAGGTTTTTGCTATAGGGGGCATGTACTCACCAGAAAAAGAGAGAGAGAGACAGAGAGACAGAAAGCGAGAAATCACCCCCCAGGGGGAATGGCTATGCCGCAATCCCTTCTCCTCTATTCTCCTCTCGGGATCTTGGGCACACACACACATGCGCCCGGCGTGAGTTTAAGCCACCGGGTCCGGGACTTGAACCATGGTCGACTACGTGGGAGTTCAGCGACATAGCCATTATGCTAATTGCTGGGCCCCAGAAAGAACATCTTAATTTGCTGTCTTTTGAAAGGTAATGCTGTAGCCCCCTCTGTAGGTAAGTTCCCCTAATACATGCTCCGAACTGATCATCCTGGCATTTAGTGCTTCTGTTTCTGGAATCCTGACTGGCACCAAACTGGGATGGTTTGGGCAAATCCCTCGCGGGAACACCATTTTTGGGTGACTCCTGCCTCAGCTTTGTCCTTTTCAGGAAACGTTGAGGCTCTTTGCTTCTATGGGATCCTTAAATACTGGTACCCTAATATTATTTTTATATCCTTGGGGTGAATGATATTTTCCTTAGTACTGCCATCTATTCCTGGGGCTCACATTGCTTCTGCATTGCTGATTCACAAATCTGTATCTGGATCTCTCTGTGACCCAGACAAGTACATCCAATTACCCACTGGATCTCTCTGCCTGTATGTCACCTATTCAACAAATCAGGTCCTATAATAAATTATTCTTATAATAAAGAATTCTTTATTTAATTTTATTTATCATTATTATTATTCTTTTTTTTCCCCAGAGGGATTTTTGCTATAGGGCATGTGCACTCACCATAGAGATAGAGAGAGACAGAAAGAGAAGAATCACCCCGGGGTGGCCACATCAGTCCTCTGGACTCCTCTCAGGGTCTTGGGAATGTATGCACTTGTGCCCAGCATGAGTTTTAAGCCACTGGGTCCAGGACTTGAACCGTGGACAACTACCTCACAGTTCAGCAGCATAACCATTGCATCATCTTCTGGTCTCAATATTAGTATTCCTTCTAAAAATTTGCCATAGGGCATGTGTGCTCACCAGAGACAGATAGACACATAGAGACAGAGAGAGGGAAAGTCAGCAAGCAAGTTACAAGTCCAGGACTCGAACTGTGGCCGACCATATCGGAATCCAGCACCTTTACCACCATACGTCTGTTGTTCCCAGCTAGAATGAATTTTTAATCTTTCTTTAGAACCTAGAATAATTTTTTAAATTACTCTGACAAATTACACTTTTCCTAATACACTAAACACTCTTATATAGGAATTCACACTTACAATAACTGTGGAAATGTTAGAGGGTAGGAAATTTAATATTTTTCTTCCTTTTTTTTTTTTTGGAGAGGTTTTTTCTATAGGGCATGTGCGCTCGCCAGAAAGACAGAGACAGAGAGACAGAAAGCGAGAAATCACCCCCCAGGGGGGATGGCCACGCTGCAATCCCTTCTTCTCCATTCTCCTCTTGGGATCTTGGAAACGCACACACACGCACCTGGTGTGAGTTTTAAGCCACTGGGTCCGGGACGCGAACCGCGGTAGACTACACGGGAGTTTAGCAACATAGCCATTACGCCAACCGCTGTTCCCAATATTTTTCTTCTTGATACACACACGCACACACACACACACACACCCTTGAAGTTCATGAAAAACTAGAGAGAGTTCTTTAATATACCTGGAGTTTAAATTTTGACAGCTTAATTTATGTATGTGATACGTATGTGACTCCTCCCTAAACACATGTACACGTTTAAAAAAAAGTACGAGTGTGTGTGTGTGTGATTTTGCTTGCTTGCTTTTTTTTTTGTTTTTAGATTTTGCTATAGGGTGTTCATTTGCCAGAGACAAAGTAAGACAGAGAGCAAAAGTGAGAAATCACCCCCCAAGAAGGATGGCCACATCACAATCCCTTCTCCATTCTCCTCTCAGGGTTTTAGGCACTCAAGCTCAGGTGCCCAGCAGATTTTCAAACCACTGGGTTCGGGACCTGAACCTACAATTGGCCGTGTGGGATTTAGCTGCATTAACCTCCATGCCACCTGCTGGCGCCAATTTGGTTTTGTTTTTTACCATGGAACCTGTATCAAATAAAATAGTATCAGAATAAATATACAGTAGAAATCAAACAGAGAAAGCAGAGATTTTCTGACTGAAGAGGCAAATGCTATGAACTATTGTTTGCCGCCTCTCCAACCGTGCAACGTTCTAGGACCAGGAAGCTGTGAGGGCATCTATGTCACACTCAAGAGCTCCATATATTGATACAATGCAGACAGTATATGCAGTTATGTAAGCTGCAACTTCAACTACAAAGATCTCACTGTGGAATCCACATCAGTATACCTCACTGAAATTCTCACATAACATAACCCGAGGCATAGAGCAGTGTTCCTTACTGTCTCACACACCCTAAGGCAGTGATGCAGTAACGTGCAAAGTGATCAAGACCGATTCATAGCATAGCCATTAAATGATTTTCAAGTGACATGCCTTACTTTAGATGTATCATATTACTTACAGAAGTCAGACTGAATTCTTCATGGATACTTCCAAACAAATCAGGAGAAGAAACATCAACAGAAAGACTGAATATAGAAACAAGAAAGAAAAAAGTTACAAATAAGGCACTAGATTATAATGAAATGCCGCTGGATCTAAATTTGATTTGAAAACACCTTGATGAAAGCTTCTATGACTTTCTGTACGTTTTACATTTAACAGTTAAAAGCTCAAAGAAGGCATTAGAGACTATCTAGGTTCTTTACTATCTATCTAGGCTCATAAATTATTGGGTTGTTGGAAAAGTCATGATGCATTTTGGAATAGAAAAACAGAAATATATGTCGCGACTTCTCCAACAACCCAGTTAACATGGACCACACAAAATTTGCTTCTGGGTCTTCCGAATACTGAATTGAATTTAAAAATAAATGACTAAGGGTAAAAATATTAAATTATTCTAATTTTACATAGGGTCTTCAAAAAGTTCAGGAAAAGTGAAATTAAAGTACAAGCTTATTAGGGTCAGCAGGTGCTGGTGTGGTGGTTAAGGGATTGGTCCCATATGGCTGGCCATAGTTCGAGTCCTGGACCCAGCAGCTTGAAAAGCAGGTGGATTTGCACAGGTGCCCAAAGTCTGATGAGGTCTGAGACTAAAAGAGAAGGGATTTTGGTGTGGCCATCCATCCCCTGAGGGGTGATTTGTCTCTCCTCAAAAAAATTAAAAAGGACAAAAAGTACTAGCTTATTTAGGTACAAAAAAATTGAAATTCATACATTTTTTTCTTAATGTACATTTTCAATGAATTTCTTAAAGACCCCTTGTATATTCCCATAATCAAAATGTTTCTGCCTATCAGAATCTCCAGGAGGCTTTTTCAATCTCACATTTATAATAAACCATTTATATGTGAGTTAAGAAGTTAGTGGATAACCCACAATGGTCAGAAATTTTATAAAACTGAAGGTGGGCGGAGGGAAGATAAAATTCACTTCTTACAGATGACAGGATTTGTTTTTTTAAATTTGAAACCTGATTTTAGAATCTATATGGAAAGACTAAAATGATGGAAATATTAATATTTCAAAATAGGTAATAAAGTATAGCAATCTGAAAAACAATAAACATAAACCAATGATAATTAAACAGCACTAGCTGATATAAAATACACTGAATGGAACAGAAGTTCAGAAACACATTGTACTACAAATTAGAATTCAGTGATATATGAAACAGAAAACAATAAGGAAAACCAAACGATAAGGAAAACTCAATCAATAATATCAGAGATCTGATTAAAAATATAGATCCTTGGTAAAATTATGCTCTATCTGAACATTAAAAACAATTTTAGGGACCAGCAGTTAGCGTAATGGCTATGTCACTGAACTCCCATGTAGCCAACCGTGGTTCAAGTCCTGGACCCGGTGGCTTAAACTCACGCCAGGCACATGTGTGTGTGCATGCCCAAGATCCCAAGAGGAGAAGGGATTCTGGTGTGACCATCCCCCGGGGTGGGGTGATTTCTCGCTTTCTTTCTCTCTGTCTCTGTCTTTCTGGCGAGTGCACGCGCCCTATAGCAAAAAAACTTCTCCAAAAAAAAAAATTTACTTAAATTAAGTTGGAATATATATCCTATAGGTTGTAGTAATGTGTGTGATATAAAATCAAGTTAAAGAAAATCTGGAAGTATTAAAAGCATTAGATTTCTAGGGAAGCAATAGTTTTATATACTAAAAACTAAAAATAAAAAAAAAATCCTAGGAAATAGATAAACGTAGAAAAATTCTCCAATTGTTAATTAAAGATTTAAGGAGCATTTATTTCAGTATTACCTGTACCAGAGCATAAATCTAAGGTGCACAGAAGAAACACATAGCAAATAACATTCAGAAAAACATTAAAAAAGATTCTGCAGAACACCGTTATAAAACAATTAACAGATGGATTTGTAAATATCAAACATCAAAATTTGTCCTCGGGAGCTCAAATAACTAAGCCTGACCCCAAATTAATTTAAACAACAGGCTTGGCCTCTAGTAAGAGTATTGGGGTAATTCCCCAATGCCAGAATTAAACAGTCATCAGCTAGGAGCTACATACTTCAATTTTCTGCTTTAACACCCATAAACCCTGTTCTTTTGGACAGTCAGTAATCTATTCATGTGTTCATGTTACTCAATACATTTCTAATAAGGCTAAGATGAGTTCAGAAGCTAAAGGCATTCCAGAAAGACTATGGATCATATATATAAACCTAGGACTTTGAGATGAACAATCTCTCTCTTTTTCTGGAAGTCTTAGGATGTAAAACTGACTATGTAACTTGCGACTACAGTTTTGATTCTGCTAAATGTGTCAATGATTAATTTCACTTTTACTTACTGGGTAGTATCTACATCTGCATCAGGTTTGGTACTCAGTTGTTCCAGACAGTATATAAAAACCTAAATCAAAAAAAAAAAAATACACTTCAGTGATGAGAGTTTTTAAATATTAATTTGAACATTAAAAATAATGGTATGGGGCCAGCAGGTGGCATGGTGGTTAAGGCATGGAACTCCCCACATTGCCAGCTGTGGTTTGCATCCTGGACTGGGCAGCTGAAAAGAAAATCGCACTGGCTATGTTGTGCATATGTGCCCGAAACCCCAGGAGGAGAATCGGGGAGGGGAGAGTATGGCAAGGCCATTCCCTGGGGGTGATCTCTCACTTTCCCTCTCACTGCCTCTCTCCAGTGAGTGCATGCACACTATGACAAAAAAGCAAAAACCTTAATATCCTAGATAAAATGTAAACGACTATCATCTATCCTGTGCTCTACGATTTTACATATACATGTATATAGTATATATTTTTTACATATACTTATATACACATACATATATATTTCATACATATATGTGTTATATATACACACATACATGTATATATAAAAATATTTTAAAAGTGCCTTAAGAAGACAGAAAAAGAGACCACAATATAAACAAAATATCTGGGTACTGCTAAAACAAGTTAGAACTGGGACCAGCAGTTGGCGTAATGGCTATGTCGCTGGACTCCCATGTGGTGAACTGTGGTTCGAGTCCTGGACCTGGTGGCTTAAATTCACACTGGGAGCACGTGCGTGCATGCCCAAGATCCTGAGAGGAAAATGGAGGAGGGATTGCAGTGTGGTCAACCTCTCTGGAGGGTGGTTTCTCACTTTTTGTCTCTGTCTTCCTGGTGAACGCACGCGCCCTATAGCAAAAACCTCTCCAAAAAAAGAAGAAGAAGAAAACAAGTTAGAATACTATATTAACTAGATTTTGTTACCTTACTTACTCTAAATTATAATGTACACACAGAAGATGAAGAAAAAAACATATTTAAAATGTTATAAGTAGGCAGGGGGTTGACTATAATTTCTGTATTTCAGGCTTTGGGCATTGATGCTTTCAAATGTTACCTGCATAATATTGATGCTTAGCTGGCAAACTTCCTCCTGTGTTTTAGGGTGCTGAAAGACCTACGAGGAAAAATTTTGATTAATGCTTTTGGACGTCACTAAGAAAATAGAACTTTCTGTTTATGAAGTTAGATATAAAAAGTTAAAACAGAGGAAACTGTTTCAGATGTATAGTTACTCTGAAAAGTGAGTGAAAAGTTGACTTATAAGTGGTTTTTCCAACCTGCAGGGATTTTTAGCTTGAAGTCAGTGAAGTACTAAATTCGCTGACAACAGCTTGGCCACTGTGCATTCTGTACACACAATGTTATCACCACAGGTATTCTACCTACGATGCCTATGCTCACCTTTTAATTCCCATCAGCCCTGGGACCAGCAGTGAGCATAACTGCTATGTCGCCGGACTCCCACGTAGTTGACTATGGTTCGAGTCCTGGACCCAGTGGCTTACACTCTGCCGGGCGCATGTGCGTGCGTGCCCAAAATCCCGAGAGGAGAATGGAGGAGAAGGGATTGTGGCGTGGCCATTCCCCAAGCGGGTAATTTCTCGCTTTCTGTCTCTGTCTTTCTCTGTCTCTCTGGCAAGCGCACACACCCTATAGCAAAAACCTCTCCAAAAAAAAAAAGTAAAAAAATTCCCATCAGCCCATAGAATTGTCATTTCTATGTAGCTAAACTAAATAAAACACCAAAGAGTAGGAGAAAAATAATTCTTGTGCTGCAACAAGTTAAAAACTTTCAACTGTGATTCCCAAGAGTTCCTTGAAAGCTTCTGAAATGGAAGTGGGACTGAACAGAAGACTTACGCTGGCTTCTCCAGGCTTGCATTCAAGAACTCCCTTAAGCGACTGCAGAGAATGAACGATGCACTGCTCAAACTGACATGGCTAAAGGGGGGGAAAAACACATATCTTAACATTCTAAAACAAGTGCTAGTTTTTAATACATGCTGAACAGAAGTGGCTACACTGTGAGGCCGTGGGGTACGATGCCGCTACTGGATGCGGAGCTGTGTGGGTGACCCAGGTCCTGATCCCAGAGCAATGGAAATGCATATGGTGAGGACCCTGTAACTGCGATCCCAGCTAACCGGGAGGGGAGGCTGGGGTGAGGGGTCACAGCACAGAGACCTTGCCACACACGCCTAACCCAGGCCAGCCTGGGGCACGGCAGTGAAGGCAGCTGGATCCTACATGGTTCAAGTCCATGACCCGATGGCTTGAAAATCATGTGGGGCATGTGTACGCACAGGCCCGAAATCCCAAAAGGTGGGAGAAATGGAGGAGAGGGGACTGCGGCATGACCATTCCCCATGGGGGTGCTTTGGCTCACCCCCCCCCCCCCCCCCCAGTGAGCACAACTGCCCTCTGGCGAAAACAAACAAATGAATAAGCAAAAACAAACAACAAAAAAATAACAAAACTACTTCCCACTCTCTCTCTTATTAAAAAAATTTTAAAAAGATATTTATCAAAAGTGAATATGTCCTGGGACCAGCAGTTAGTGTAATGGCTATGTCGTTAGACTCCCACGTAGTCGACCATGGTTCGCGTCCCGGACCCGGTGGCTTAAACTCACGCCGGGCGCGTGTGCGTGCGTGCCCAAGATCCCGAGAGGAGAATGGAGGAGAAGGGCTTGCAGCATGGCCATCCGGGGGGGGTGATTTCTCGCTTTCAGTCTCTTTGTCTCTCTGTGTCTGTCTGGCAAGCGCACATGCCCTATAGCAAAAACCTCTCCAAAAAAAAAAAAAAGTGAATATGTCCTAAAAACTAAACATTCCTGATCTATGGAAAGGAAGAGATACTAATAATCTATCACATTAGCTCCCAGTCGCTGCATTTCAGGTTTGGCGTACATTTTGCATTTAATATTTTATTATTTTACTTTTACATTCGGTCATTCATTTATTTGAATTGCCAGAGGGCACAGAGACTCCCAGAGAGAAGGAGATGGGGAAAACATCCTCTACTAAGGTACAGTTGTGCTGCAACCCTCCTCCCCCATTTCTCTATCTAGCTGGGATAGGGGGCATGCATGCGTACACACTTGGCATGTTTTTCAAGTCACGAGGGTAGGGGGTTTGAACCATGGTAGTCATGCAGAATCTGGCACTCTGAAACACTAAGCTATGGAGTCAGCCCATGCTCTCTCTCTCTCTCTCTCTCTCTATCTTGTCGTTGAGAAAGTCATGATGCATTTTTGTATAAAAAAAAAATACATCATGACTTTACCGACAACCCAATATATCTACAAGGCATGTGCACTAGCTGGAGAGGGAGAGAAACAGAGAGAAAAGTGAGAAACGTTCCCCCTCTCCCTAGAGGGGATAGCCATGCCACAATCCTTTCTCATCCCTTATTCTCTCATGGTTTTGGGCATCCATGCATATACACCCAGCATGATTTTCATGCTGCCAGGTCCAGAACTTGAACTGTGGACAGCCACGTGAGAATCCAGCACCTTAAACACCACGCCACCTGCAAGCCTGCCCTTAGTATTTATAAATGAATGAATCTTGAGAATGTAAAGTACATCTTATTCAACTATAGAAGTATAAAACTCAAGTATAACTAACATTTTTCTTTGGAAGTCTACTTTTCAGAGGCAAATGACATGGTTAAAAGGCAGATACGACAAGTTGATATTTTAAACACCACTTCCCGGGTATATTCTAGAATAAGCTTAATACCCATCTTCCAAGTCAACAAAATTGAATGTCAGTAACAATCCAAAGGAGGTAAAATATCCTTAGGTCAGGTAAGTAACTACAGTCATTATCTAAATACATTGAATCAGAAAATGAAACCTTGAAAACATGTCTAACCAATGGTATTTCGAGATAAGCTTGAATGCATCCTATTGTTTTAACTCCTAAGTGTGTCTCAGCTCTACTTTGCACTGGGAACTACTCTACATGACAGAGATGCATGAGTGCACAGAGGAGGGCAGCGTGCATACCCCAGGGTGGGCGAGATGTTGCAGAGGCTGAGGGACCACAGACAGAGCAGCGTGGCACAGCCCCTGAGCCTGAACAAGGCACACGAAAGGTGGAGCCTGGCATGTGGGTTTTATTCAAAGATCCCCAAGGCATGGAAGGCCCAACACTCAATCGACCGTCTTTTTGCAAGAAATCTGGAGTGAGAACCTCTCCTTAATATTTGCGTCAATTTTTAAAAGGGGTTTGGAAAAACAAAACTGAACACAAGTAAGTGATACCTTCATATGTGTTTTTAAAAAGACGAATTTATTTTCTTATGTAAAGATATCCAGACTTAGTGAAAGTTAAAAACAGTGCCACTGCTTTAATGTCATCTTATCACTATACTTTGAAACCACCAGAGGGCACCATAGAAAAATACTTTCAAAGTACACACGCGTGCACGCACGCACACACACACACACACACAGAGAACAAGTGAACATAGGCTAAATACCAAATGCACAGAAAGTACTTACGAGTTTAAATGTTTGATGACTAACTTACCTCAAAAGCATGAAAGTTGAAAATGCTACAGGAATAAACGTCATTATAATATTGACAACTGAATCTAACAGTTAAATGTGGATGTTTGTGCATGGTTATCTAGATTTCTTAAATTAAAATTTAAACTGAATGTTACTAATTTTATACCTATATTAATACAATAAACGCATAGAGAATACTAGAAAGGTCCATGAGCAGTCAGTTTCAGCTAAACTGGCAGTAAACTAGTCTAAACATTTGCTATTTCTGTATTCTAAAATAAATGGTACTATCTCTGTGGATTATCATTGAATCACCCGACTTAGATGACTATAAGGAGTTATCACAAAACATCCCAGTTCTTCTGAAAGAAGAAAATTCTCAGAATTATCCAAATTGAAAAAAGGCAGAAAGTATTTTCAACATGAGAAGAAAACAGGATGCTTTCAAATGAGCTGTTCAGAACACTAAAGTGAAGTTCTAATCAAAGGTAATACTTTAGCTGAAAGAACACTCATCATGAAGCACAGCTTAATGTTCACTTCTTCAGCCTGATAAGGGACACTCTCCCATCCCAATCAACAGGGAGACAGAGCGACAGTCTCATCTCAAACAAATGAGATGATAAGAACAAATAAGTGAGAGGTACGTGATAGACTTTGATGCAAGGTACATAATCTTTCACAGTCTTAAGACTTTGACCCACACGTTTAGGTTAAAATACTCAAAGCTAGAGTTTAGACTCATGCTGTAAGAACTGATTCACCTTCTAAGAGAGGGCCAGGCTGAATAGCTGTCCTCTCTTACCCAAACGTCTGAGCCTATTTCTGTAAGGATAAGTGATGAGAAGACGCCTTGGCTGACCCAGGTGACCTACTTCCTGTGGGCCCTTCACTCACCAGGCACGGTGGGGCTTACCCCTCTCTTCTCTGCACAGAGTTATGTGGCATGCGTGTAAGAGGTTGTTAAATTAGTTATTTTATGGTTATGACTGCACTCACATGTGAATAGTTAAACTTTAAAAATAAAGTACAAAAATAAGTTTCTATTGTAACCACTTCAAAGCATTTTCACAGAAACTAATCAACTACCACTAGACAAACAAACAGTCCTGAGACCAAGGAAGCTGACAGGCTGACCTCATTGATAAGAAATTCTGACCTGAAAGGGGCCTGAAGCCAATGTACCCTTTATGGCTAAGAGGTACTGAATTTATATCAAGGTTTATTTGTTTTGTTTTGTTTTAAATAAAAGAACCTTTACAACAGACTCTGTTTTCTCGATCTGAACCCATTAATTTTTTTCCTTTGCACAAGACCAATGTGAGGCAGGTATCATGAACCAGGTATCAAAGTGACTTGATGTCTAAGCTTAATTTTGTATTCCCAGAAACTATTTAGATTACATGCTCCTTACTAATATAATGTCAGTCGATTATTTTAAATAGTAATATATACTAATAACTAGTAATTAAAAAAAAGGTAAACTTACTAGAGATGTCAGTCCTTCATTATCAACAATCCAATCTTCCTTTTCAGCTAATCTCTTTATTTCTACATGGAAAACAAGCATGTAAGTAATTCTACTATAATTAACTCACTATACCGCATAGTAATAAAGATCTATAAAAGGTTGGGGGATCAGCAGATAGCATAATGGCTACGTTGCTGGACTCCCATGTAGCTGACTGCCGTTCAAGTCCTGGATCTGGTGGCTTAAACACACTGGGCACATGTGCATGTGTGCCCAAGATGCGAAGAAGAGAATGGAGGAGAAGGGATTGTGGTGTGGCCAGCCCCCCTGGGGGGTGATTTCTGGCTTTCTATCTCTCTGTCTCTCTCTGTCTTTCTGGCGAGTACACACACCCTATAGCAAAAATCTCTCCAAAAATAGATAGATAAATAAATAAATAACAAATATAACTTTTACTGCTTTTCAGGATTCTAAAGAGACAATCCCCCAAATTTAAAAATGTATAAAGAAAAGAATCATCTATGATTTCTACTATCCAGAGAAACACTGCTAACAATCTTTCCTCCAATTTTACATTAATTTTTCTAAATTAAATTTTTTAAATATACATACATGTATGTTCAAAACTAGGATCATACTTTATATACATTCTAGCTCTTATATTTCTTACCTAACATTCATTGTAAGGTGTTCTTATTTTGAGAATATCCATCTTAATTTCTGCATGCTCTTACATCTCAGCTAAATTGATTTGAAAAGACATTAAAAAAAGAAAAATATGCTAGTGGGCAGCCAGAAATAAGATGAACTCACATTCAAATTTCCTTAAGAGTTATTTTCTCTTATTTTCAAGGATTTGCAAACTGGAAGGAGATAGTATACTCAGATAACCATTGTCTACTACATGCCATCAATTTTTTTTAACATACCTTCTGCTGTATGCTGCAATGTGACCATTACACAGCGTACTCGGAGATCCAGAATGAGATCCTGGATAGTCTGTAACATGTCATTAGGAATTTCAAGGGCAGTTAGTGATTCATAAGTAAGCCTGTAAAAAAAACAACACAGAAAAATAAAAGTGAGTGGAGCGTCGAGATCCCAAAGCAATCCCTGTCATTGCTCTTGCTACCCCGTAACTATTCCTCATGAAGTTTACAAGCACAGCATTAGGTCGACACAGAAAAGGTAAGAACATAACAGGGACTGGATCATAACAATAAAGCCAACGATATGAAAAGATTCACAGAGAGAATGGTACTTTCATCCACCATAAACACCAGGAACATTTAGGAGCTTAGCTCTTAGGTAAGCGGGAAACGGTATATAGGCAAAAGGACAGCGAGAAGAAAAAATAGAACTTCTTCTTTGGTGAATGTATTAAAAATCATATAGTTGGGGCCGGCAAGTGGCATGGTGGTTAAAAGGCGTTGGACTCCCACATGGCCGACCATGGTTCAAGTCTCGGACCTGGTGGTTTGCTTTCTCACTTCCTCTCTCTCTCTCTTTCTGATCAAACTGGAAAATAATAATGATAATAATAATAAATAAAGTTAAATAAAATAATTCTTAAAAAAAATCACATAGTTAACTATTTTTTGGTTAAAAGGTAACAAACAAACAACAAAATTATCCCTTTTTATGAGAAAATGTGAGTATGTACCTTACTGTCTGGATGGCATGAGCCAGCCACTGCCCGGAGAGCTCAGACTTCACTTCCCAGCCTCCATACTGTCTTGCTTCTCCCTCCCGGATGCTGAGGGGCAGCAAAGCTCCACGGATCAGCTTCACAAGGGAGTACATTACCTCCTGAATCATTTTCTAGAACGTGATGAACAAGCAAAATTGCATTAAAATATCATAATCTGATTGCATTAAATAAAAATAGAAAAAAAAAATATCTTGAGACTTTTGTCTTAGTAATTTTGGATGAGCAAACCCTACCCTGCAGAAAAGGTCTATGTGTATCTCCTTAACTTACCTTAAAATCATTTTGTCTTTGCCTTACATTCTTTGATCTTTCAATCTGGCCTGACTTCTCAGCAGTCTTAAAAATTAAAAAACAAAAACGAAATTAAACAGATTAGTTTTCTTTTAGAAATAATTTATAAAAATAAGAAAATGCTTTAGCAGTTGTATATAAAGAGAACATGAAATGTCTTTTTTTTTTTTTAATAGGTTTTTGCCATAGGGCACATACGCTCACCAGAGAGGAGAGAGATAGAGAGAGGGAAAGTGAGAAATCACCCCGTTTCCACACCCGGGGAATGTCCACAACATAATCCTTTTTCCATTGTCCTCTAGGGATCTTGGACATGCTTGCACATGTCACCAGAAGGATTATTAAGTTGCTGGGTCTAGGACTTGAACCATGGTGGGCCATGTTGGAATCCAGCCACTTTAACCACTACCTGCTGGCTTCATAAAATAAGTTGTTTTTTTTTTTTTTTTGGAGAAGTTTGGTTTTTTTTTTTTTGAGAGGTTTTTGCTATAGGGTGCGTGCGCTCGCCAGACAGACACAGAGAGACAGAGAGATAGAAAGCGAGAAATCACCCCCCAGGGGTGATGGTCACGCTGCAATCCCTTCTCCTCCATTCTTCTCTCGGGATCTTGGGCACGCACGCACACGCGCCCGGCATGAGTCCTAAGCCACTGGGTGCGGGACGCGAACCGCGGTCGACTACGTGGGAGTCCAGCGACATAGCCATTACGCTAACTGCTGGTTTCCAGCATAAAATAAGTTTTAAGAAATAAATCTAAGTTTTTAATTAAAAGATACTTAACTAGAAAGCCTTTCCTATTCCAATAAAAAATTATCGGACTTTCTTAAAATTTTTAGGTATAATTCCCATAAATACGCCCACAAATTAAGTAAGATGAATCTACCAATTCTGTAGGTGAAATTCATGTGCCATTTTCATCAACAATTTTGTATGGTCAAACTATAAACTCCCATACCCATGATAACATTCTCAACATCATCACTCTTTAGCTAGAGTAGAAATAAAAGGAAAAGTAAACTCTGAATTACTTTGCAGTAATCCTAGGGGATCCATTCCATCCTCTGGATAAATACTTGTGAATACAAACTCTATAACTGTTACTTATTTAAAAAAATAATAAATCACCGTTTTTCTTTTAGGGATTTGTACAGTCTAATTTAGGAGAGAATACGTAATTCCAGAATTAGTTTCCTGTCTGTTTACTGACATAATCTATGTCTTCCTCTTGATATTTCTTTCTCCACTAAGCAATGTGAGGAAGAGTACATTGATTAAGAAAGATGGATCTCACTTAACTCTTCATTAACACATTTTCTAACAACTGAATATTATTATAATAAATACTATAGAAGGGCAAGCTTAGGAAAATTTCCAAATAAAGAAGCAGTGACAAAATAATATAACATAAAAGAAAATTCTTACACTTCATTGACCTAATGCCAAAGGTATCCTTTAAGTTAAAACTTTTATGTATTATTGGTTAGAAACATGTCAAGGAATCTTTCAAGTTCATAGAAGTTGCATTATAAAGAATTATGATGTAGACTTCAAGTTAATTTTTAAAATATATAATGTTTTTGGTTTTTATTTTTTGGAGTTTTTTTTGCTATAGGGTGTGTGCGCTCACCAGAAAGACAGAGACAGAGAGACAGAAAGCGAGAAATCACCCCCAGGGGGGATGGCCACGCCGCAATCCCTTCTGCTCCATTCTCTTCTTGGGATCTTGGGTACGCACACACACGTGCCTGGTGTGAGTTTAAGCCACCGGGTCGCGGACTCGAACCACAGTCGACTACATGGGAGTCCAGCGACATAGCCGTTATGCTAACTGCTGGTCCCTATAACGTTTTAAGTATATGTACATATATTTTATGTATGAAGTTTATTATATTATATATATTAAGCTAAGTCTGCTCACCTGCTGCCTGTTTTTGTCTAGTGTGATACTTGGAATCAAAGCAGCACTGAGGGAACTTTGGGTCTAGTGTGGAGAAGCAGACGATGTTCTGACTATGGTGATAAACAGCAGGCTGCGTGTGCACACCCGCTCCCCGGTGCGGGCCTGTTGCAGGTTTCAGCCTTAGGCATTTTCTTCTCTTTTCTCTAGATATCCTCTCACTCATTTGTTCCCTTGGCTCCAAATTATGCCAACTGCTGGTCCCAGAACTCAATCTGAATCCTTGCCCTTATCTTCCTCAACCATCAGTAAGACTGATCAACACCGCTCCAAAGTATGAATCAAATCTTTCAATTTCTCCCCAACTCCTCTGATAAACCTTTGTCCAAACCATCACTGTTATCTGGGCAACCTTAATGACTTCCTCACCTTTGTCCCCTGACAATTAATAATCTTGAACAAGCAACCAAAGTAGTGTTTTTAAATCTAGAAAGCTGATCTGGCTCCCTTTCCTGTTGTGGTCTGCAATAGAGGTCTCCACCAGCTGCTTTGCCCACTGCCCCTGCCCCTGCCCCTGCCCCAGCTCTTCCTCCTGAAGCTTTCCCAGCTACTCGGTATAATCCACAGGTGGTGGCTTTCTTCCTGCTTCTCAGACGGGCCGAGTTCCTTTCCTCAGCGAGTGTGCGCCAGCCTCACTGCTAGCTCATGCTACCCCTGATACTCCCTGTGGTTGTCTCCTTCTCTCGTATCAAGTGTCAGCTTCAATACCATATCCACAGAGACATCTCCTGACCACCACTCCACTACGGGCATACTTTACCACGGGATGCTTTTTGCTTCTTTTACAGTCATTACCAGAATTCAGGCTAATTTTATTTATTTATTTATTTAGGTTTTTCCCATAGGGCACATGCACTTGCCAGAGACAGACAGAAAGAGACAGTGAGAGGGAAAGTGAGAAATCACTACCTGGAGGAACAACAGCCAGGCCTTTTTTTCTCCTGGAATTTTGGGCATGCACGCACATGTGCCTGGCGTGATTTTCAAGCTGCCAGGTATAGAATTTGAACCCCAGTCTTCCATGTGGGAGACTAGCACCTTAAACACCATGCCACCTGCTGTTCTTTAGGAAAAATTTTTTTAAAAATTGTTATTGGTGGCCACTTCAGAAGGAAACAGGCCATGTTTATCATGTTAACTGTTTTATTTTTACTATAAATACGTGTTTCCAAATTTATGTACAGGGACCAGCAGATGGTGTAGTGGTTACGTTGCTGGACTCCATATGGCCGACTGTGGTTCAAGTCCTAGACCCAGTGGCTCGAAAATTATGTAAGGCGCGCGCACACGCACACGTGTGTGTGTGTGTGTGTGTGTGTGTGTGTACCCATGATCTCAGGAGGACAATGGAAAAGAAGGGATTGTGGCTTGGCCATCCTCCCTATAGAGTGATTTCTCACTTTCTCTCTCACTCTCTCTCTCTCTCTCTCTTTCTCCTGTGATAGCACACACCCTGTAGCAAAAATGTCTAAATAAATAAAATAAATAAATAAACTGTATGAATATATGCACATATATAGCTCATGAATATACATTTTGGACACATGTCTATGTGTGTATGGGCATATGCTGTACATGTGTATGTATATATTATATGTGTTTACAACCACACATGTGCTGTATGCATACATGTATGTATATACACCAACATAATCATTGCACACATGGAAATGTGAGTATTTTATGTGCATGAAGGCATATGCAGGTATGTATATCATGTGGGCACACATATACGTTGTGTGTGTTGTGTGTGTGTGTGCATGTATGTATGTATATCAGTACCTGAATATAAAGTGTTTTCAAGGTATTCAATAAATATTTGGTGAATTAATAATCACCAAATATTCGACAGTATATTAATAATCACCAAATACTTGGTGATTCGGACAAAGCGTTCTTCAAGCCCTTAAATAGTTAAGAAAGCATGACTGGCCAGAATGTAACAGGGCTACTCTGAACCCCCCCACCCCCCCCCCAAAAAAAACCCTGAAGTCCTGTGTCTCAACAAGGAATACTGGCCCTTAATGTACAACCCTATAATATATTCCTAAAAAGCCCAATAGATTCAATTATCCTGGAGATTTACAATGTAGACAAAAAGGATGAGGAGAGTCTTGAGAGTTGTGTGTGATGGCCCAGAGTTGGGAGACCACCTCGTAGAAGGTGAGCTCGGCACCCACCTCAACAGCAGGAGGCACACCAGGACACTGGAATCCCACACTGCTGAGTCTTTATTAAGAACCTGTGATAGCTGATTTTATGTGTCAACTTGACTGGGCCATGGGGCGCCCTGATATCTGGCCGAATACATGGTGTGTTTCTGTGAAGAGTTTCTGGATGAGATCAATATTCAGATCAGCAGAATGAGTGAAAGGAATTGCCCTCCCTACTGTGGGTGGGCCTCATAAATCAGCTAAAGGTCTCAACAGAACAGAAGGGCCAAGTTTCCTTCTGAAGAAGGAATTCTTCTTGCCTGACTGCCTTCAAGCTGTGATCCTGTTTATTTTCTGCCTTCTTACTTGAACTCAAACTTCTGTTCTGTTCTGTTCTTGGGTCTCAAGCCTGAAGGAATCTAGACTGGAATCTATACCATTGACTCTTGTAAATATCCTGCTTGCTGACTCATCCTATGGACCTTGGGACATACCAGCCTCTACAATTATGTGAGTCGATTCCCTATAATAAATCCTTTTATGTAAGGAGGAATCTTCAAAGAGTTCATAGAAAATGTCTTTTACGAAAAAACTATGCATGTATTTGACAATTTTTTGCATAAAAATAAATTGATTTTCCACAAATTCTTTGAAGATACATGTCCTATTAGTTCTACTTCTCTGGGGAACCTGCTAATATAATTGTATAAGTTATACAATTATACACCTGACAGAGGTGTCTTCTCTAACTGTGTCTTCCACAATATCTGATACTGATCTTTATATATGCTGGAATTATTCAATGGGAAGATTATTCCAGTCATTTGTCCTATTAAGGTATTTTAAAAATCAATGTAAAGAATGAAAACCTGTTGCTAAAAAGCATCACAAATAACAAATTTAAGGCTAAATTTTGTCAACAATTTTTTGCACCCAACAGGGACTCATCAATGCATGATGACATCTACTAGACAATAATTTTATAAAATTCAAGGACTTTTCTCCAAATACAAGAAGATTAAATAGAGAAGGGGAAATTAGGTATAAGAAATTTGTAATTGTTAGTCAGACAATTATTTCTTGCTTTAATTTGATGAAAAGGGAAATATCTCTAACACAATGAAGTATATAAGGTTTGCTCTATTTTTAAAAGGAATCTAATTTAGAACATACAGTACATTTTAATGTACATACTATGAATTTTGTGACTTTTTAAAAGGCTGATTCCTAAAATGTAACCATTATTTGGATGCTTTAAAAAGTTTCATCCAAAAGTGCACTGTATTTAAAATATATCTAAAGGTGAAATCTTAACCTACTATTAACTATTTCGTTAATTAAAAACCTTAACTCTTTCCTGCACACACAGACCAAAACTACTTTGTGGTAAGGCCAACGGCTAGATTTCACTGTTTTGATTCACATATGTTACTTCACATGAACTTAACTGGTTTGAAGAACTGACTATTTTTTTAAACTGTTGGAAACTTCATCCGAATCATTAACGGATGAGTTCTTAATATAAAACAAGACAGTCCTGGAACAAGAAAAATAGATTTCAAGTAAATCGTGTTAAAATACTATCAAGTTTTCTTGTATAGGATCAAATATCAACAATGAAAAGCCTGAGAACTCTTCCCACATTAATTCAATGAGGTTTCCGGGCCTCCCAACTGAGGGGGCAGGCACTTTCCAACCCCTCATCCCTTCCTGCTTCCCTCTAGTGCATTTCTAGCTTTTTAAAAGGGTATTAGCAGTTTAAAACACGCCCAAAACTATAAAGTGAATTGCAATTAATAATTATTACTATAAACTTTTAAGAAATGTTTATAAACATAAGTAGGCATATTCAGCCCAGCTAATTAAAATTAATTTTTCGTTTCAACTCTAATGTTGTTCAAGATTCTAAAGTAGGTCACTTTACTTTTCATCTAGGACCAAATATTTCACTTACATTTTTACTATAATTAGATATAACTGGTAAGGAAAGAAAACATATCCTCTTCTCACGAAAGTATCCCAGATCAAAACCTCTTAAGACTCAAGAAAAGGCAACTGATCCAAATGAGAGGAGAAAACACTTATCTGGAAACAAATGATAAAATTTAAAACCTATATCCTAAGGAACTAATTCTTTTTTGTTTTATTTTGTTGTGGTTGTTAGATTTTTCTTCTTTTCTTTTTTTTGGAGAGGTTTTTGCTATAGGGCGCATGCGCTCACCAGACAGAGAGACAGAAAGCGAGAAATCACCCCCCCACCCCCCTCGAGGGGGATGGCCACGCCGCAATCCCTTCTCCTCCATTCTCCTCTCAGGATCTTGGGCATGCACGCACATGAGCCCAGCGTGAGTTTAAGCCACCGGGTCCTGGACTCGAATCGCAGTCGACTATGTGGGAGTCCAGCGACATAGCCATTACGCTAACTGCTGGTCCCTGGTTGTTAGATTTTTGCTATAAGGTCTCTGCACTCATTAGAGAGAGGGAAAATGAGAAATCACTCCCCAGCGGGGAAGGCCACACCACAATCTCTTCTGCTCCATTCTTCTCTCAGGATTTTGGGCATGGACACACACGTGCCTGGCAGGATTTTCAAGTCAGTGAGTCTGGGACTCAAACCGCGGTCAGTCATGTGGCAGTCCAGCCCCTTAACCACTGTGGCACCTGCTGGCCCCAGGACCTAGGTCTTTAACCACGAAGGCTGTGGTTTCAACAAAAATGGTTTCAGCTCTGTCCACATCCACTTTCTACATTGCCACGTCCAAAAGCAGCAGGAAATAACCTTTATTCTCATGAAAAAAAAAAAAAAAAAAAAAAAAAAAAAAAACACCTCTCCTTGCTCTCCCCAAAACACAGCTGTCTTCTCAATGTTACAGGTGGGACTCCCTAAGCAATGCAGGGGCAAAGGGCATCAGAATCTACATTCCAGAAATCGGAGGCCTTTCTTAGAGCACTTTAAATGAGATTATAAAGTGTTAAGTCTGATTTCCCTGTGCTACACACAAAAGTCAGAATCATTCATTTATATTCACAATGTCTATGCTACCAATTGTATTCTAGATTAAGATACTAAGTAAATGTGTGACTCATGAAAATATAAAGACTCATAAAAACTTCCGTAGGCTGTTAATAATGAGGCCAGATGACATATTCTTTAAATTCTTTCCAAGTAGGAAATTCCACAATTAGAAGGATTAAAAGGGAGGAACTGAATTTCAAAACAATCAAACAACTTGCTCGAGGTTCCACGGTTAAGTCTTAGGGCTTTACAATGTTTTTAACGAATCTTAAAATATATGATGATGGTCATAAGTGTTGAATTACTAAGATTTAAAAAAAAAAAATTACTTCAAAACCTACCATTTTTTTAGACATTCACAATGACTTACCTCCACCTATACTTCAATTCTTGTACATACCTCACTGAAAAGACTTCCATTAACATAGGAGATCCAGAGTTTCCAGAAGTTAGGCAGCTGACTTAAAACAAGCTTGGTCAATTTTTCAACAAATGCCACCCTGTGGGGAGTTTTGTATCTCCACGCTAAGAGGCAAAAAAGAATAAAATACTATAAATATTCTTTTGAACCAAGAATAAAAATCTACTTGAACTATTGCCCATCCCCCTAAAACTTACATGCACACTAGAAGTAGCCCAAATCTAGGTGGAGACACTAGAGTACACACATTTGCTGTGTTCCCTCCTCACATCCCACTCTTGACTCTGGTGGCATCCAGTGCACGGTGGCACACCTATCACCAGAGGTCCCCCAAGGAAGGAAGAGTGGCACCACTGGCTGAAGGTGAGCAGTGAGGTGGGCATGGCATCAGACATTGGGAAGCCTTTGAAGAAGACATTTCCTTGGCTTTTCAACCTTGTCCTCAGAATGGTATAGTTCTCTTCAAAAAGTTATGCCTTCAAATAGACAAACACCAGGGCCATCTCTATAGCCGATAACGAAACTTGAGGCTAATATCAACCTCTTAGAAAGGCCGTTGTACATCCTCGGTGATCACACTCAGTAGTAAGTGCTCCAGAGTAGGGTTAGTGAGACATGAAACGACCTACACATGGGCTTTATTATAGGGTAAACTGACATGTAAGAATGGGCTGGGCAGACAGCAACCCCAAAGTTCATGCAGCTTCAACCCCTTGTTTTTCCTTCTGCTGTACTGTGCCTTCCACACACAACCCTTGGCGCTTGGCGCCACAGGAAGGGTTGGGCAGAGAGCAAACCAGAAGGAGTCATAGGGTTCTATGGACATACACACTGCATTCTGTTCCCCACTCCAAAGCAAGCTGCGGACTTTGAAAAGAAACTCAAAGAGACTACAACTGGTTTGGAAACGTATTTGCCTGAGTTCCCAGAATGAATGTGTCTTAACAATAGCCAGGGAGGGAAAACAGATTGCTACCCTGAGTGGCCACACCACGGACATGGGGAAATGGAAGGCCTTAAGATGTTTTCAGTCTTTAAGAAACAAGGCTAGCCAGGCATCCTCATACAGTAAATAATCCATTGCCATGGTGGAATGTATTCCAGTACAGTCACATAATGGTTAACTCTTACTCTAGCAGAGGAATTTAACAAAAATGATTAATAGTAGGACCTCTTCAGTTACATACAGTTTAAATGAAAATTATAGGAGGCCATTGTTTTGGACTGAGCTCCTGCTAAAGGCCCCACAAGACCAGACCAAAATGGGGCCACTAATGTTAAAATGCCATGATGGATCCTAAAACAGACCAGGTTTTCCTGGAAAGAGAAAATCCAGTTTATTTGAGTCAGAGATATAAGGAAGTAAAACTCATGCACATCCTGTGGCTTTCTTAGAAATATACACCTCCAGTAGCTCAAGCCACTACCCAGACTCATCAGTTCTTTTGTTTTATGAGTATCTTTACCTTCCATCAGTCATGTCTAATTAGTTATTAACTTCAGTTGTTTTTTTAATAGGGCACGTGCACTTGCTGGGGAGAGAGAAACAGAGAGGGAAAGTGAGAAGTAACTTCTGCGAGGATGACCATGCCACAATCCCTTCTCTTCCATTCTCCTCCTGGGATTTTGGATAGGCGCTAGAGCACGCGCGCACACACACGGCTGGGATGATTTTCAAGTCACTAGGTCTGGGATTCAAACTGCAGTCGCCCATGTGGGAATACAGTGCCTTTGCCACCACACCACCCACTGGCCCATTAGCCTTCAAAATGGTTCGGTTACAACAACATGACAGACTCACTGTCTTTGCACCTGAAGATTAAGCGAAGTGACTCTAAGTGACCATGAGATTATCCTGCTCCCCTTATCACAGAATTTAGCTTCTCGCTGCACAGAATTTAGCTTCTCGCTGCTATGTAAGACTCCTCGCTACTCCCTTCCCCCATTAGATGATTTGTCTTTTAAAATCACCCTAAAATCTGTAGGATCTCGGTGCACAATATTTAAGGCAACGTGGAGACGGTGTTCCCAGGTGACCATCCTTAACTCTGGCCCCCCAGAATTCCTGCTTTGCTTACTTTGTCTCAGCATTTCCCTTAGGTTGACATACAACATTCAATACAGGTATTGGAACAACTGGGAAATAATAAGTCAGACTTCTGGTGGGGACAAAAACAATGTAGGAAGCCAGGGACCACTCGCCATTCCCAATCTCCTCCTTTCTTGACCCTATAGAGACCACTGCCTCCTACACTGCTTGGGATTCTTTCCTGCTCACCTGGGAGCCCTGAACCACAGTACAGGTGCTGCACAGTCATCTACCCATCCGGCTTCACAGCGAGCATTTAGGAATGTTCGTGGGCTCTGGCTCTACTGCTATCAGCAATGTCAAAGACAGGTCAGCCTCAGGTTAGGACTTTATCAACTCCAGCCACCAACTGGTAGCTTCCTCTCAAAATACTCCATGGGAAAAAGTTCTCTTGTTGATGTTATCCCAGTGAGGGAGGAGTGAATTTTATTTATTTTAAAATATTTCATTATTTTCTAACTGGGTAATACATTAGAAAATGAAACTTACAAGGTGTTCAGTGGAAAGTCTACCTCCTGCCCCTATCCCATTTGCTTCATCCCCAGTTCCAGACATAGACAGCTACCATCTCTAGTTTGTGATTCTCTCTGAAATATTTTTTTATGCAGAAGGAAATAAAAACATGGATTCTCCCCTTCCTAGCTGTTCTTTAAATTTCAGAAATTTTTACACCAATGAAAGCATTGTACATCTACTTATTTGAAGTTTGGCTTCCTTCATTTTAGCATAGATTCTGGAGTTCTTGCATACTGAAACATAAAGTACTTCCTCCTCTTCTCCCCATAATTTCCTATCTGGATGTATCATGATTTAACAATACAAAAGAGTGTACGTTAATAAGTTAATAATAAATTGGAGTTAATAACTAATTAGACATGACTGATGGAAGGTAAAGATACTCATAAAACGAAAGGCCCAATGAGTCTAGGAAGTGGCTTGAGCTACTGGAGGTGTATATTTCCCAGAAAGCCACAGGAGGTGCATGAGTTTTATTTCCTTACAGCTCTGACTCAAATAAACTGGATTTTCTCTTTTCAGGAAAACCTGGTCTGCTTTAGGATCCATCAGTGATGATGTGGCATTTTAACATTAGTGACCCCATTTTGGTCTGGTCTTCTGGGGCCTCGAGCAGGAGGAGCTCAGTCCAAAACAATGGCCTCCTATAATTTTCATTTAAACTGTATATAGTTGAAGAAGTCCTAATAGTAATCATTTTTGTTAAATTCCTATGTTATAGCAAGAGTTAACCATTATGTGATTGTACTGAAATACATTCCATCATGACAGTTTCAAGTAAAACATCAATCAAAAACATACAGCTACATGGGACCAGCAGTTAGCGTAATGGCTATGTCACTGAACTCCCAAGAAGCCAACCTCGGTTCGAGTCCTGGACCCAGTGGCTTAAACTCACACTGGGTGCACACAAGTGCGTGCTCGCTCAAGATCCCGAGAGGAGAATGGAGGAGAAGGGACTGCAGCGTGGCCATCCCCCTGGGGGGGTGATTTCTTGCTTTCTGTCTCTCTGTCTCTCTCTTGTCTTTCTGGTGAGCAAACACACCCTACAGCAAAAACCTCCCCCCCAAAAATACATATATATAGATACATCACTTATTGCATGTACAAGTGTTAGTGCACAATAAATCCCCAGAATGAAAACTGCTGGGTCCAAAAGGAGGCAGTTAGAATTTTGACAAATATCCCCGAATTGCCCTCTAACGGAGTCAGGTACACTTCCACCAGGAATGCATGAAAGGAGCAGCTTTATCATAACCTCATCATGCAACGAGCTAAACACACGAGACTCAAAACAAAACAATAAATACTTAGGAGTTTCTTTGCCCAACTGGTATCTCACTGTATTGTTATGCTGCCTTTTAGAAATTATGATGATGAATGAGGCTCAGGACCTATCCACTGGCTTGAGCACCACCGTGATTTCCTTTGTGCGGCCCATAGAGACTCTTCCTTTATTAGGCACCTCAGCCCTCTGCCTATGTTACGAGTTGTGGGGAAAAGTTCTAAATTCAGTTTGCACATGTTTGCATAATTTGAATGGTTTGTTGACCCCGGGTCTTTATTTAAGGGCACCTGGTCAAGTTTTATTTGTTCATTCAGCTAATATATACCGAGTATCAGGTGGTGCTTAGGTGGCCACACCCAAGATCTGTCTAAATTGTTCACCCCTAACACTGAACAAGGTAGGTTTGCCTTTGCAAAGCTTATAATCTAACAGTCAATTAAATACAGCAAATAAGTACTGTGGGGTGAGTCTAACGAGTTAGGTAGACTTCATCTGGAGACAGAGCCGTTACAGCCTCTTTTTCCCAGTAGGAGCTTTGATAAACAGTTTTCTAAATGGCAGGCAGTATGTGCTACACAGCACACACTATGGCCAGGTGGGTCACGATCTAAAACAAGGTAAAATACAGGACAAGAAAATCTAAAATTGAAGCACTGGAAAATTGGCCTCGGATCACAGGAAGTGGACTCCCATATGCTATCATCCCCGTGAATAATGTGTCAAAGTTCTGAGCTCCTCTGTATAGTGACATGGACCATTGTTTTGTATAAGGTGACTGTGAGAAACTCATCTGTAGCCTCATCCTCATTTCCTTTACAGGGTTGGTTTGCTGGGAAATTAAGCTGAACGCAACCTAAGTAGAACCCAAGTTCCTGTCAGTACTGAACCTGGACCAGCTATCTGTGTGGGCTGGCCTGGCTCACTATGTAGCTATATTCCACATATACACACGCTCCCTACTTATGCAATAGAAACTCTACATATATGTATTCATGGAGCAGTCGCTAGGCAGTTCATCATGGAGATTACTACTCACCCCAAAGAAAGACAGGGAACATTGACTTCTCATTAGTTTAAAAGAGAAGATCTTTTTAAAAAAATACAAATATGGGACCAGCAGATGGTGTAGTGGTTACGTCACTGAGCTTCCACATGGGCAACTACGGTTCAAGTACTGGACCTGGTGGCTTCAAAATCATGCCAGGCACATG